GTTTCTTTCCATTTTTCTAGCAAACTCACCCGAGTTTCTTCTCAAATGCCAGGAAAAAACCCAACAAAAATCCTAGTTTGTCTTGAATTCGCAAATTTAAATGCCAAATTTTGCTCAAAAATCTCGAATCAGTTCAGCGCTTCTCTGAAAAATTCTCTCCCCATTTTGCTGCTGTTTCCGTTGACAACCAATAATTTTCAATAGTTTCTTTGACAACTATCGGTGTCACAGACCTAAAAATCAATTTTCCAAATCGATTGGGTGAAAAAGTTCGCGACCGGGATCGAACCCGGGTCGTGTGACTGCCAGCCCAGCTCGCTAACCACTCGGCCAAAAGTGAACTTGCAGCTTTTGATCTGAAAATTTTTCTAGCTGCCTAGTGCCTTCCAGGATCCACCCTGGATTGGTTATTTTCACGATTTGTCCATTTTTACATAACATATCGAGGCTGATCTCACGAAAGCCGTTTATCCCAATTTTCAGCGCAAATTTCTTTTGTCACTAGTCATTTCGGCAATTATGGATGTCACTACACCTAAAAACCGATTTTCGGAATCGATTGGCCGAAAAAGTTCGCGACCGGGATCGAACCCGGGTCGTGTGACTGCCAGCCCAGCTCGCTAACCACTCGGCCAAAAGTAAACTTGCAGCTTTCGATCTGAAAATTTTTGCAACTGCCTAGTGCCTTCCAGGATCCACTCTGGCTGGATTATTTTCACGATTTGTTTATTTTTGCATGCTTAATAAGGCTCTTGTTTTTCCCACTCGTCCAACGCTTTCAAAAATGGGCTTTGATCGTTTGGAAAATAAGAAAAACATTTTAAAAGAGTCCCAAATTCATTTAAAAAACTAAATTTCCATATAATTCTTTTGAATTTTAGACAAATTTTAGACAAATTTAGCCAAATTTTCAACCTTTTCTTCATTATTAATGAAAAAAGATCGAGATAATAGAAAAAAAAAACTTCTATAAAAGAATGATTTCAGCCTTTGTTCAGCACAAAAAAAAACACCCGGAAATCTTTTTTTGAGACTTTTTTGTTTTTCTCAATTCTTTTAATCCTTTTTCTCTTTGCTTTTGATCATTTCTCAAAGTCTGCTCCTTTTTGAGTATAACGGAGTTTACTTTCGCCCACCTGCGCGTGTTTTTCGGTGAATCTGGAGATCACACCATTCATTAGAAAAAGCTGAGTCAGACGCCTTTTATAGTAGGCTATTTTCGGATTGCGTAATTGAACCGGGCCTCAATTTTGAAGTTGAATTCAACTTATCTCGAAAAGCAGATAGTTTTTTAGTCGATCTGGAGGTCACACAATTCACTAGAAAAAGCTGAGTCAGCTTTGACGCCTTTGTAATGATGGCTTTTCTAGAGTTGAGTGTTTAAAGCAAAAAGGCTTAGAAAATTGAATTGGATTTTGATTTCAAATGCAAAATCAATCTTTCTGGAAGGCACGTCAAAGATTTTAAAGAAGCAAATCTTGAAAAAATGATTTTGGGGAATTTGGTTTTTCCCCCTTTCCAGGCCTTCACAAATATTGGGTAATTAAACCGACTTGAGACCAATTTTCATGCAAATTCGGCTTTCCTGGAGGGCAGTAGAAGGAAATTCGGCCAAAGTCTCAAGCGTTTGGGTTTTTTGCGTTTTTTAGTCTTTACACCTAAACTCTCCTAGATATACACGCAAAAAAGAAAGAAACATCGTGAGAAGAATCGTGAAAAATTAATGCTAGGAGATTTTTGCTCAATGCTGAGTAAACCGGAATGGGAGATTCGGTTGGTTTGAGTCATAAATGCACTTTTTCTTTCTTTTCTTTGATAAAAAGGATTCTCTCCTCATTTTGGTGCTGATTTCGTTGTAAATGAATTTTTCAATACTTCCTTTGACAACTATGGATGTCACTACACCTAAAAATCGATTTTAGAAATCGATTGGTTGAAGAAGTTCACGACCGGAATCGAACCCGGGTCGTGTGACTGCCAGCCCCGCTTGGCCGCTACCCACTTGGCCAAAAGTGAACTTGCAGCTTTTGATCTGAAAATTTTTCTGGCTGTCTAGTGCCTTCCAGGATTCAGTCTGGATTGATTATTTTCGCGATTTGTCCATTTTTACATACCAGATCGAGGCTGATCTCGCGAAAGCCGTTTATCCCAATTTTCAGCGCAAATTTTTTTTTGTCACTAGTCATTTTGGCAATTATGGATGTCACTACACCTAAAAATCAATTTTCCAAATCGATTGGTTGAAAAAGTTCACGACCGGGATCGAACCCGGGTCGTGTGACTGCTAGCCCAGCTCACTAGCCGCTCGGCCAAAAGCAAACTTGCAGCTTTGGATTTCAAAATTTTTCCAACTGCCTAGTGCCTTCCAGGATCCACTCTGGCTAGATTATTTCCACGATCTGAACCTTTTTTCGAATCTAATCATGCTCGGTTTTTAGTGAAGATAAATTTTTAAAAAATCCCGTACTCTACAAAGCTATTTTTATTATTTTCTTTTAATCTGGATGTCACTTTAGCGTTTGAATCGAGTGAAATACCAGAAAAGTAATTTTTAACGTTTTCTATATTGGGCCTTGACTTGAACAATGGCAGAAACACGAAAATATTATTGAAAAAGTTCAAAAATTGAAAAACCTTGTATTCTGGAATGCACAACAGCCGATGAGTCAACTACGTAATCAGACTTTTCAAAATTCCCTATATGAATATCTTTTGTTTTTCGATATTCCCCCTTTATCCATTCAGTTACTCGCTTTTTTCCGTCCGCGCAGAAAACAAAAAAAGAGAAAGCCGCTGAAAGGGTAAAGCGAAAGAAAAGTGGATGAAAGAAATGGGATTACAATTTCCGGTGCCCGCCAAGCACTAATCCCCCATTCGAGATAGTTCATCCCGCTTTTCACCCAATTTTCAGTGCTCAATTTTTTTCTCACTAGTCATTTTGACAATTATGGATGTCACTACACTTTAAAATCAATTTTTCAAAGCGATTAGTTGAAAAAGTTCGCGACCGGAATCGAACCCGGGTCGTGTGACTGCCAGCCCAGCTCGCTAACCACTCGGCCAAAAGTGAACTTGAAGCTTTTGATCTGAAAATTTTGTCTAGCTTCCTAGTGCCTTCCAGGATCCACCCTGGATTGATTATTTTTATTATTTTTATATACCCAGTCGAAGCTAATCCCTCAAAAGCCGCCTCTTCCTGTTTCTGAGCGTTCTTTTAAGAAAATTTCTGTTATTTACTTAAATTTCACTATTCTGGAAGGCATTTAACCAAAATTTTTCTTCAAAAGCTTTAAAATCTTGCTTTTTAAAACATTTTTTCAAAAAAACCTCGCGTGTCAATTTCTCCAAAATTGAAAAATTTTCGAAATCTCAAAAATCACAAAAATTTTGTGTTTTGCCCTTCCCTGTGCGTACCATAATGGCTATTTTCAGTCGTTTTTATTTCGAATTTCGCTTTCATTCCGCTTTTGAGCCACCGAACACCTCTCGGAGCCAATCATTTTACGACTTTATTTCGCTTTTTCAACTTTTCCGTTCAATTTTTGCTTAATTAGCTTCAATGCGCTCCAGTTTGAGCAAAATTGACAAAAAACTTTTGTTTTTTCACTAAAAATGGCTAAATTTCCTCTCAATCTCGTTTCTCTGGCGGAAATTGAGCATTTTTTCAAAAAATCTCTCAAATCTCGCTTCAAAAATGAGTCAAACTTTCAGAAACTTTAAGACTTTCTTTTGTAAAATTCATAATTTCTCGATTTCCTTCTTTTTTCTGAAATTTTTCGTTTATTTCGACCGATCTCATGACAATTTTTGGTCAATTAAATGAATTAGCGGGTTTTTTGTGTGAAAAGACAGAAAAATTTTCCAAAAATGGAGTTTGATTCATTCCCCCTGGGAGTCGTGCTAATTGTTTTCCCCAAAAAAAAGGTCGACAAATTGTGGGAAAAATTTTTTTGAAAGATTTTCTTGGCAGATTTTCCGTTCAACGCTTTCTCCAAGGGAAACGACAATTTTTTCGGTTCGATCAAACCAAATTTGGGTTTCCTGGGAGTCACAGCACGATTTTGTAGCTTTAGATTTCACTCTGGATTGATTATTTTCACGATTTGTTTATTTTTACATACCAGATCGAGGCTGATCTCGGGAAAGCCGTTTATCCCAATTTTCAGCGCAAATTTTTTTTTGTCACTAGTCATTTCGGCAACTATGGATGTCACTACAGCTAAAAAACAATTTTAAAAATAGATTGACTGAAAAAGTTCGCGACCGGGATCGAACCCGGGTCGTGTGACTGCCAGCTCAGCTCGCTAACCACTCGGCCAAAAGTAAACTTAGAGCTTTCGATCTGAAAATTTTTCTAGCTGCCTAGTGCCTTCCAGGATCCACCCTGGATTGATTATTTTTATCATTTTTACATACCCAGTCGACAAATTGTGGGAAAATTTTTTTGGCAGATTTTCCAAGGGAAACGACAATCTTTTCGGCTCGATCAAACCAAATTTGGGTTTCCTGGAAGTCACAGCACGATTTTGTAGCTTTACATTTCGTTATATCTCAAGAGTAAAACATTTGCTTTCTATGGGTTACGGTAGCTAGGTCACGCTTTAACAAAACCTAGAAGCCTTGTTTCAAAGCCTTGTTTGCAAAAATACATTGCCTGTTTTTTAAAATGCGCTCCAAATACCGTATCATGTGCGTTTTAGCTTTTAAATTGAGCCCAGACGCCTGTGGTCTTTCGTTTTCTAAAGTGTGCTCCAACTACCGTACCCAAATCATTTGTGATTTTTTAAAATGTGTTTTGAATCGTTTTTCTGATTTTATTTTTTAGAATGACCTCCAGATTAAAGGAAAAAACCATTTTTTTATTAAATTTCTCATCTTAAAGCTGATTTTTCTTGTCGAACTCGATTCTTATTCGATCTCGATCATTTCAAGCTCTTTCTTGCCTCAATTGTGCCCTAAATCTGCCCTAAATCTTGTCCATTATTACAGTATCCTCTGTGATGGACTATGATTGTCGCGGGAATTTCTCCGAAGTTTGTCAGCATTCGATCGAAGTGAATGGAGCTGATGGAATTGCGGGAGAGACGGCGCAATACCCGATTGGATTCTGGGTAAGTTTCAGAGTTAAAAGAAAGAGCAGGATTCAAAAATGGAAAGGAAGAGCTTCAACGCACAGAATTTTTTGTCTGACCTTACTTTACCTTGACTTGATTTCTATTACTACTTCATTTTCAAGTGGGTAACTAAGCCGGGCCTCAATTTTGAAGCTAAATCTAACTTATCTTGAAAGATACATAGTTTTTTAGTCGATCTGGAGATCACACCATTCATTAGAAAAAGCTGAGTCAGACGCCTTTAATAGTAGGCTATTTTCGGATTGCGTAATTGAACCGGGCCTCAATTTTGAAGCTGAATTCAACTTCTCCCAAAAAGCACATGGTTTTTTAGTCGATCTGGAGGTCACACAATTCACTAGAAAAAGCTGAGTCAGCTTTGACGCCTTTGTAATGATGGCTTTTCTAGAGTTGAGTGTTTAAAGCAAAAAGGCTTAGGAAATTGAACTGGATTTTGATTTCAAATGCAAAATCAATCTTTCTGGAAGGCACGTCAAAGATTTTAAAGAAGCAAATCTTGAAAAAATGATTTTGGGGAATTTGGTTTTTCCCCCTTTCCAGGCCTTCACAAATATTGGGTAATTAAACCGAAATTGAAAAAAACTTTTAAAAATCCGCTTTTCTATGTCTAGCCTTGCAAAAAGAGCCTTTCTATCAGCTAGCTAGCCAAATTTGTAACTTGTCTTGGCTTAGCTAGATCATAGAAACAGGGATAAGCGACTTTCGCGAGATCAGCCTCGATCTGATATGTAAAAATGGACAAATCGTGGAAATAATCAATCCAGAGTGGATCCTGGAAGGCACTAAGCAGTTGGAAAAATTTTGAGATCGAAAGCTGCAAGTTCGCTTTTGGCCGAGCGGCTAGTGAGCTGGGCTGGCAGTCACACGACCCGGGTTCGATCCCGGTCGAGGACTTTTTGAACTAATCGCTTTGGAAAATTGATTTTTAGGTGTAGTGACATCCATAGTTGTCAAAGGAAGTATTGAAAAGTTTGTTGGCATCGACAGTCTAAGATTTAGCTAAGCCAGAAATTACAAGTTTCGCTGGCCGGTTTTTTTAGCTATGCCCGACGCCAGACGGGTACAGTAAGATTCCGGAATCGATTTTCTAATTTTAAGCAATCATTTTCCATTTCCAGATCGAGATCACCCTGTACTTTGTGGCGTTTTTCGTGGGCGGTCCCCTCAACGTGATGTCGATTTTCAAACTGTTGCGCGCGAGAAGGACGCTAAAAGTTGGTTCAACGCTGAGAAATTCGTGAAATTTAAAAGATTTTCCCTAATCCTGGATGTCACAGCATATTTTAAGCATATTTGTTTCGAAAAAAGACCAAAATTCGCTTGACTGCTACCGTAATTTGCTTGGCTGCAAAATTCTATTGAAAAAGGGTCACCATTTTGGAAACAAAGTTGATTTTTGTAAATCCTGGATGTCACAGCATATTTTAAGCATATTTGTTTCGGGAAAAGACCAAAATTCGCTTGACTGCTACCGTAATTCTCTTGACTACTAAATTCTTTTGAAAAAGGGTGACCATTTAGGAAACAAAGTTGATTTTTGTAAATCCTGGATGTCATCGCTAATTTTTAGCATCCATCAGCTCTTTTATTGTTGCGATTGCACTTGAACATCGCGGATTTGATCACCCTTTTCATCTACATTCCCAAGCAAATCATTTGGCTGATCACGTTTGCGGTGAGTCTTTTTTTTTTTGGTGAATCTGGAGGGCACAGTAGATGTGAGTATTTTAAACATTTCTTCATTTCTTCAATTTCAGTGGTATGGCGGTGATCTCCTTTGCCGTCTCTTCTCGTTCATCTCGACTTTCTGCTTCTATTTGCACTCATTCGTCATCGCGTGCATCGCGATCGATCGACTTTTTGGCGCATGGCATATAAAGTATTTTCAGTTGCCTAATAGAAAGCTAAAAACCAGAAAGAACTAAATTTTAAAGCATCCATTCTACCAGAAAGCTCGTGACTCTGGTCAGGTCTTGATTAGGTCAGCTTTAGGTCAGCTTTAGGTCAGCTTTAGGTCAGCTTTAGGTCAGCTTTAGGTCAGCTTTAGGTCAGCTTTAGGTCAGCTTTAGGTCAGCTTTAGGTCAGCTTTAGGTCAGCTTTAGGTCAGCTTTAGGTCAGCTTTAGGTCAGCTTTAGGTCAGCTTTAGGTCAGCTTTAGGTCAGCTTTAGGTCAGCTTTAGGTCAGCTTTAGGTCAGCTTTAGGTCAGCTTTAGGTCAGCTTTAGGTCAGCTTTAGGTCAGCTTTAGGTCAGCTTTAGGTCAGCTTTAGGTCAGCTTTAGGTCAGCTTTAGGTCAGCTTTAGGTCAGCTTTAGGTCAGCTTTAGGTCAGCTTTAGGTCAACTTTTTCGTCCAATTTGCCTAATTTTTGCCTAATTCGCTTCAATGACCTCCAATTTGAGTAAATTTTTTATAAAAATTAAACCTTTTCACTAAAGAATAAGAAAATTTTGCCTCAAAATCGTTTCGATGGCGAAACTCTAGTCTCGTAACTCAAAAGTACAAGAAATGGCTTGGACCAGTCTGCTCAGTCTGCCCAGTCTGCCCAGACTAGAGGACTAGAAGTCTGGATTAAAAGTAACCGTTTAGAAGCCTTGAATCTAAAACTAAAGGCATACAGAAGCTAGAGTCAATATGGCCATTTCAGCTCGGTCTCGGCCTCTCGAAAAGCTTTCACCCGTGTCTCTCAATTGTTGATCGCTGCTTGGGTGATGGCAACGATTTTGGCGCTCCCCCAAACGCTCATCTTCAAGCTGTATGAGTTGGATGATCCGAGCGAGGCAGTGTAAGTGAATTTCGGCACTGGCTGGCTCATGGCTCGAATCTAGAGCTAGAGCTAGCTTGGGTCAGCCGGGATTTGGATCTGGGTTGGACTGAAGAACTGAACTAAGCCTAAGCCTTTCTAAGCCTTCCTAAGCCTTTCTAAGCCTTCCTAAGCCTTTCTAAGCCTTCCTAAGCCTTCCTACACCTAAAAATCAATTTTCCAAATCGACTGGTTGAAAAAGTTCGCGACCGGAATCGAACCCGGGTCGTGTGACTGCCAGCCCAGCTCGCTAGCCACTCGGTCAAAAGCGAACTTGCAGCTTTTGATCTGAAAATTTTTCTAGCTGTCTAGTGCCTTCCAGGATCCACCCTGGATTGATTATTTTCACGATTTTACACAAATTTTTTCAAGCTTACATAAAGGATGCAATTTTTCAGTCCTTCGAAGCAATGCGCGACGTTTTGGATGAAAGCCAAATACGATTCGAATCAAATCTTCGAACATCCAAATGTTTCGGTTGCCGAGAAGAATCGGGTTCGTTTTTTTTGGGGAAATCTTTGAATTTCACGGAGATTTTTAAGACAGGAAATGCGTTTTTAAAATTCCTTTGATTGATTCGAAGAAATGAAATTCTCAAAAAAATTTCCCGTTTTCTAGTTTTTGTGCACTCCAGGATTAACAAATAATATCATCATTTGAAAAATTTCTTTGAAAAGACTCGAGAAATGATTGTGAACTCGAACGGGGATACGGTAGGAGGGACGCGTTTTATCTAGCACTTCCCTCTTGAAAGCAATTACACATTTCTCAGCTAGTTCTCTAAAAATTTTTCAGGCTTAGGCTTAGTTAGGCTTGACTTTTGAGCTTTTTTTCTTTTGGAACACAGAAGCTTTTGCATTTTTCTAGGTGGCTGAAGGCTTAGGCTTAGACTCAGCTCAGACTCAGGCTCAGCCCAGGCTCAGGGTTAGGATTAGGCTCAGCTCAGGCTCAGGCTCAGCCCAGGCTCAGGGTTAGGATTAGGCTCAGCTCAGGCTCAGGCTCAGCCCAGGCTCAGGGTTAGGATTAGGCTCAGCTCAGGCTCAGGCTCAGCCCAGGCTCAGGGTTAGGATTAGGCTCAGCTCAGGCTCAGGCTCAGCCCAGGCTCAGGGTTAGGATTAGGCTCAGCTCAGGCTCAGGCTCAGCCCAGGCTCAGGGTTAGGATTAGGCTCAGCTCAGGCTCAGGCTCAGCCCAGGCTCAGGGTTAGAATTAGGCTCAGCTCAGGCTCAGGCTCAGGCTTAGGCTTAGGCTTGACTCTTAATCTTTTTTCTTTTGGAACACAAAAACTTTTGCATTTTTCTAGGTGGATCAACAGTTGACTGAGGTGATTGCTTACGAAAAATGGTACACGATCGCTCATCTGACCTTCAGCTTCGTTCTCCCCACAATGCTCATCATTTTCTCCTACACGACACTATTGTTTATTTTGAAAGGGATCATCAAGGGTGAGTTGAGGAATCATTGAAAGATTACAGTGCTGGGTGGGATTCTGGAGTACAGTAGAATGCATCCAGCACTGTAATCTGAGGGCACGGAAGGGTCTAGGGTTTAGAGTACAGAAGAACAGGAAATAGACAAAGATACTGTAGGCCAGGTGGCGGTAGTCCCAGACGAATTTTCATTTTGAAGCCTAAAACCCGGTCAGACTACGGTGTGCTATCCAACTTGAAGAATAGTGCTAGCCGATTTTCATATTATAGCTTCAAATTCGATGTCAAGCCACGGTGTGACATCCAGCTTGAAGAATCAGTTAACCCCCAGGGTAAAGTAAGCGAGCTCTGCTTTCCTGTAGCTCAGACTAGATTAGAGGTGGGATACGGTCGGGCTTACCTTAGATTCCAGGCTCAGCATCACTACCAGCTTATTGTCGAAGGTAGACGTTACTAGATTACTGTACTAGACGAAAATCTGAAGCATTATAACGAAATCGACTATTCGTTTGCCTTCCCAACCCGAAATTGCGATTTTTCCATGTCTATTTTCGTCGTTTTCCTGCGCGTTTCATTCAACTTTCGAAAGATTTAGAAAATCTGATCAAATCCCCGGCACTTTCATTGAATTTCCGGTTGGATGCGCTCCAGATACCGGGAAAAATTCGGAATCTTGATTTCATGAGAGCGAATTTTGAATTGTGATTTGAGGCACCATTTCAGAAATCACATTTTGAGTCATTTCAGAAATCTCCTTAATTTGGGGGCTTTCAAGTAAAGTGCATTCCAGATCGAAAGAAAAAGTGGGCCTTTTAAAATTTATCGTTGATTAAATGCAAATTTTCTCGACAAACTCGTTTCACAAAACCCGAATTGCATAAAATTTGAAAAATTAAATTAATTTAGACTTTTTTGAACAGCATGAGTTCCAGATTGAAAGAAAATTGAAAAATTGAGAAATTGAATGATTGTTAAATGCAAATTTTCTCGACTAACTCGTTCCACAAAAACCGAATTGGATAAAATTCGAAAAAGTGATCTAATTTTGAATTTTCTGGACAACATGACTTCCAGATTGAAAGAAAATTCAAAAATTATAAAATATTATAGCGATTAAATGCAAATTTTCTTGACAAACTCGTTCCACAAAAAGCGAATTGCAAAAAATTCGAAAAATTAACTTATTTTAGACTTTTTTGAACAGCATGACTTCCAGATTGAAAGAAAATTCAAAAATTTCAAAATTTAATAATTGTTAAATGCAAATTCTCTGCCAAAACCCGTTTCCCCATAATCGGGTCAATAAAAATTTGAAAAATTTGTTTAATTTTAAACTTTTTAGACATTGTGACTTCCAGATTGAAAGAAAATTTAAAAAATTAAAAAAAAATGAGAATCTTTAGAAACGGGCACAGTCAATGGGCACAGTCAGATGACGTCACTGCTGGTGTTGACACGGAAGCACTACACGTCCGAGGACGATCACAGCAAAGGTGAGTGTGACCTCCAGATCGGCCGGATCTCGAAACAGGACCTTTGGTTCTCATCTAGATCTCGTGAATTTTCGTTGATCTCAATTCTCATCTCTAGCACAACCCATTTCTTTCGTTTTTAGCCTTCAAAGCACCCCGATTGTCAAAATATCGAGGTGAATAATTCAGTTTTTTTTGTTTTTGGCATTTTGGCACCAAAGCACAGGAAAAGGTGAAATAATTTTTTGTTATTTGACTTCTTCAGCTGTCTCCATTTTTTTTTGAATGCGATTTTGGGAAAACTTCGAGAATCTCATTGATTTGCGGAATCTCAACGATTCCGCAAACTTTGCAAACTCGATTTTTGTTCTCATTGTTGCTTGGCTAATCGTTGTGCACAAAAGCTTCTTTAAAACCGTTTTTGCATTAAAAATTAACAATCTAACTTTAAGCTGAAATTTCGGCTTAAAGTTAGATTGCCGGCCGATCGGCAGTTAGATTGTCGGCCTAGTCGGCCGATCGAACACCGGGAATCCGATGCTTCATTCAGCTTTTGTCCATATTCAAAAGCAGGCGAGAAAAACGTGTCCAAAGCTTGGGTGTCTACTCGGGAAATCTACTCGAAATGCGAGCTTATAAAGGCTTAGGCTTAGGCTTGGGCTTGGGCTTGGGCTTGGGCTCAGGCTTGGGCTTAGGCTTAGGCTCAGGCTCAGGCTTAGGCTTGGGCTTGGGCTTGGGCTTAGGCTTAGGCTCAGGCTCAGGCTTGGGCTTGGGCTTGGGCTTAGGCTTAGGCTTAGGCTCAGGCTTGGGCTTAGATACATGTTGCCGGAGCCTCGAGCTATTCGTTTCGTTTCAACGTCTAGTTCATTTGTCTAGTCGAAATGTCCTTGTCTTGAGCCTAAAAGTGTCGTTTGTCGTTAAAATAATCAAAAATATTCGCCCTATAGCACCTCAAAAGTCACTCAACAGGATTTCCACAGCCTGAACTTCTCCCATTGATCTCCTCTCCTCAAAATCGAGCTAGTCAGGGCTGTTTGGATGAATAAAGTCTGATATTTGATATCCAATTCTGAGATCTGATTTCCAGTTCCAGCTCAAATTCGAATTCAAGAATTAGATAGTTTTAGATAAACAGTTTAGATAACTTTTCATTAACCAGAAGTTGAAGAGTTTAGAGTGAGGATTTCAATGAGCTGAATAGAGTAGACGTTAGCTGGCTTACGGTAGACTTTAGCTTGCTCTCAGCCTACTTTCTGACTGGATAACTGAATCAGATTTACTATTCAAATGGATATTTCTATATCATCCATCCAACCCTGTTCCCCGTTTATTCAAATTTGACATTTGAGTAACGAATTTCAGTCACGGGAACCACTTTCGTCATGCACGATGCGCAATCGATTCGAAGGAATTCGAATACGCCGCCCGGGCATCTAGAAAGAGCCGTGAGTCCACAGAGTGCGTTGCACACGGAGAGAAGTGAGAGACAGTACGATCAATCATCGAGAAGAGTCTCCTCACCGTTTATCGTCGCTGATGATCACTCGTTGATGCTTAATCACAAATGGTGAGTGGATTTTGGCGTTAGGTTACTGGGTGATATCCAGATCGAAGAATTTTGCTAGTCAATTTTCATAAAGTAGGCTAGAATCGAGATTTTACGGTCAGATTACGGTATGCTATTTAGCTTAAAGAAATTTAACGACTAGTGGTGACTATTTTCGGTTTAAATTACGGTGTGCTATCCAGATCGAAGCATTTTGCTAGTCAATTTTCATAAAGTAGGCTAGAACTGAAATTTTACGCTCAGATTACGGTATGCTATTTAGCTTAAAGAAATTTCATGATAATGGCTGACTATTTTAGGTTTAGATTACGGTGTGATATCCAGATCGAAGAATTTTGCTAGTCAATTTTCATAAAGTAGGCTGAAACGGAGATTTTACGGTCAGATTACGGTATGCTAATTAGCCTAAAGAAATTTAACGACTAGGGCTAACTTTTTTCAGTTCAAATTACGGTGCGCTATCCAGATCGAAGTATTTTGCTAGCCGATTTTCTATTGCAAGCTAGAATCAAAACCTTGAGTCTAGGTTACGGTATGCTATTTAGCCTAAAGAAATTTAACGACTAGGGCTGACTATTTTCGGTTTAAATTACGGTGTGCTATCCAGATCGAAGACTCGTGCTAACCAATTTTCATAGAGTAGGCTAGAACTGAACTTTTACGCTCAGATGACGGTATGCTATTTAGCTTAAGGAAATCTCATGATAAGGGCCGACTTTTTTAGGCTTAGGTTACGGTGCACATCGGCGCGAGAATGCGTTTTCTATCGAATTTTTCTGGGAGTACCTTTTTTAGATGTGGAAAATTGTGCTGATTCCGAATCTGAAGGAATTTTTCAAATCCCCTTGACAGAAATTTTTAAAATTGAGTTTTAGCAGTTTTTTGGTCATTTTGTATGGGAAATTTTGTGGTACCCTGCAGTTTGGAGCTCGTAACTCGACAACGAGGGTCTAGAACGAAAAACGAAGGGATAATTTTTATTCTAAAGGCTCTTGCGAACATTTTGATGCAAAAATCATCAAATTTGCTCAACTCTACAAAAAGTTATAACATTTTTTAAAACACAAATGAGCAAATTTAATAAATTCTCGATTGCACAATTGTTTTGTTCGAAAGAACAATGTATTGGGTTGATGCATAATTATCCGGACTTCTTTTTGCGTGCTTGTATCTTTTTTGTTTTGAAAGCTTTTTGTCTATTTCTTTTTTTTAAATATTCGTTATTCTTTAGTGAACAAAATGCGTGTCGACAATCATATCCATCTTCGCCATATCATGCTCTACCACTTCGAAAAGGGGATGGTCTGCCGCAGAGTCGTTTCGCGATCTCAAAGAACTGGAGAAGCCCCAACGGACTACCACGTCAATCGATCGCTCAAAAATTGGCAAACAAATAAGATCTACAACGATTTGGATGACTTGATAGACGATGTTAAAGCGTGGATTGCCTCCAAAGATCGTTTATTCTTCGCTCGTGGAATCGATCGTCTTCCAAGCAAATGGCAATCAGTTATTGATGTAGGCGGTGAATATGCTCCAGAATAATCAATTAAACATATTTTTCTAACTATTTATGTTATTTTTTGTTAAATAAAATCATTTATAAAAGAAGTCCGGATAATTATGCATCAACCCAATAGCTATGTATCGTATTCACTCAAAACAATTAAGGAATATGCAAAATAATAGCTCAAGTGTGCGGGAGAGTCGAACCAACAACCCCATACTTTTACGCGGGATTCATGTCGCGCGCCTTAGACCACTCGGCCACGCTTTCCCCTTATGTTTTTAGTGTACTTTGCAATATTTCTTTAAAAAATGTTATAACTTTTTGTAGAGTTGAGCAAATTTGATGATTTTTGCATCAAAATGTTCGTAAGAGCCTTTAGAATAAAAATTATCCCTTCGTTTTTCGTTCTAGACCCTCGTTGTCGAGTTACGAGCTCCAAACTGCAGGGTACCACAAAATTTCCCATACAAAATGACCAAAAAACTGCTAAAACTCAATTTTAAAAATTTCTGTCAAGGGGATTTGAAAAATTCCTTCAGATTCGGAATCAGCACAATTTTCCACATCTAAAAAAGGTACTCCCAGAAAAATCCGATAGAAATGCTATTTAGCTTAAAGAAATTTAACGACTAGTGGTGACTATTTTCGGTTTAAATTACGGTGTGCTATCCAGATCGAAGACTCGTGCTAACCAATTTTCATAGAGTAGGCTAGAACTGAACTTTTACGGTCGGTATTCGATTCCGATTCAAGAATTGTTAATTTATTGAGTCAGAGACAAAATTTGGAAGCCAAAGTTCCCTGTGACATCCAGTTTGCTCAAATCATTCTCAATTTTTCAGTGACGGTGGCGAGATCTCGCAAAACTCGGAGGATTTCCTGAGGCCGCCGAAAAAGGCGAAGAAACCCCAACGAGTACCCGTTTCGCCATTCGCCATCGGAAAGATTACAAAAGCGAGAAAGGTGAGGTGGCTGAAAAGAGTCTGAAACTAGAAGCTAAATAAAATTCATTAATTCTTGATCTTCAAAAAATGATCAACACCAAGATGAAGCTTTGATTCTAAAAATTGAAATTGAAAAAAATCAAAAAATTTCCCGTTCTATAGCTAGCGTGCATTCCAGAATCAGCAAATAATCTCATTGTTTTCTTAATTTCTTTGAAAAAACTCGAGAAATGCTCGAGAACTCGAACGGGTCGAGGAACCGCTTTTTTTCAACGCCAGATGGGTGTAAATTTTGATGCAAATTGTTCTGTGACATCCAGCTTCAAGAAATTCTATGCTAAAATTAGCCGTACTGCAAATGAGTCAAAGAAAAGCTTGTCAACTCTTTCGTGACACTCAGAAAAAGCTCTAGATTGAAAATTCGGCTCTTTTACCCACCGTACAAGCCTAATCCTAACATTTCTAGGAAGCCAAGCGCCAAGCAGCTCTCATCCTTCTCGCCTACATCGTTTGCTGGTCTCCGTATAACGTTTTATCAATTGCTCACATTTTTGGTCTCTTCTATTTTCCACAATTTCAATTTTTGAATGCTCTCATTTCCATAAATCCAATCATGAATCCAATAATTTACGGGGTTTCAGGAAAGCACATTTTTGAAGAATGTTTAAAGAAATTTCGAGAATTTCGAGATTTTCGTCAACCCGAATCTCATCCTTCTTAAAAAATCCCATCGAAAGCGTTTCCCGAAAAGTTTGCGAAAAACTTTGCGAACTTTGCGAACTTTTGCTTAAGCTGGAGGTCACTCTATCAAAATTTTACATAAAAAAAGTCATTTCATCAAATCCAACAAAAATCTCATTCGAACCGGAGCTCGTTGGAGCGAAAATTTTGAGTGAAAATATCTTTTTCAAATTTGAACAAAACGATCACTCAAGCTGGAGCTCACGTTATCCAAATTTTCCAGAAAAAAGTGATTTGATCAAATCCCAATGAAATTCCCATTTGACCCGGAGCTTGTTCGCCGAAATTTTTCCATAAAAATCCCTTTTTCAAAATGTCAAGACAAATTTCCCATTCAAGCTGGAGCTCACGCTAACCAAATTTTCCAAGAAAAAAAGTGATTTCATCAAATCCAACAAAAATCTCATTCAAACCGGAGCTCATTAGAGTCAAAATTTTGGGTAAAAATCTCTTTTACAAATTTCAAATTTCAAATTTCAACAAAACGATCATCCAAGCTGGAGCTCACGCTATTCAAGGGTGGCTTTGTAAAGTTCGCAGAAAGTTTTGTAAAGTTTGGTTAAAATTTAAAATTTTCATTTGAGCTGAAGGGTTTTTTCTTGAAAATTTCCTTAAAAAATTGTTTGTTTTTTTTTGAAAATTTCTTTTTTTCTCAATTATTCTTTGAATTTTTTCGTGTGCCAAAAAAGGATTTTTGCTTTTTGAATCGTTTAAAAGACTTGCTTGACGTAAGAAAATTTTAATTATTGTTCTTTGTGATTGAATCTTTGTCTATTTTTTTGTCTTTTTGTCTTTTTTTTTTTTTTTTGTCTTTTTTTGGGGGCTGGGACAAATGCTACCTTTTTTTGCGCACCTGGACACTTGCGCACCTTTTTTTTTTGCTTGAAAAGGCCTTAGGAAAGGTCGTAGAGCTTCAAAAATGTTTCCATACAAGGGAATCGTATGCGTAGATTCCGAATTTCGACAAATCACACCTCGCTGACACGTCAAATTTGGGCTAAAAGGCGAAAACTGCGGAAAAGCGTTAAGTTGCGTAGTTCTTGCTTTTTAGCTCAAATTTAACGTGTCAGCGAGGTCTGATTTGCTTTGATTTGTCGAAATTCGGAAGCTACGCATACGATTCCCTAGTATGGAAACATTTTCGAAGCTCTAGGACCTTTCCTAAGGCCTTTGCCAGCAAGAAAAAAGGTGCGCAAATGTCCAGGTGCGCAAAAAAAGGTCGCATTTGTCCCACTCCCCTTTTTTTTCTTTTTGTCTTTTTTTTTGCTTTTTTCTTTTCTCCAATGATAAATCGGGTGTTTTTTTCGTTTTTTATCAAATAAAACTTCTTTTAAAAGTTTCTACAAATCAAATAGAATTGAATTAAATCAAATCAATCAATCAAATCAAATCAATCAAATCAAATCAATCAAATCAAATCAATCAATCAAATCAATCAAATCAATCAAATCAATCAAATCAATCAAATCAATCAATTCAATCAAATCAATCAAATCAAATCAATCAATTCAATCAATCAATTCAATCAATCAAGTCAAATCAATCAATTCAATCAGTCAACCAATCAATCAATCAATCAAATCAATCAAATAAACCAATCAATCAAATCAATCAAACCAATCAATCAATCAATCAATCAATCAATCAAATCAATCAAATCCGTACTTTGTAAAGACCCGTAGCTAAATGGAAAATCGTTTGGAAAAGGCAGAAATTGAGGGAGGAAAAAGGAAAAATTGAATATTCAATGAATTTTGAGATATGAGGAGAAAGTAGTAGTGATTGTTGAAGATTTAAAAGCGAATACAGTACTCAGATACAGTAATCAAATACAGTAATCAAATAGAAAATTGCCAAATAGAAAATCGAGCTTTCCAAGATCATTGCCGTGACATTTGCGGCAATTCAGACGGCATCTCGAACATCGTTTTCCAGATTTGTTCTCGAGTTGACATCCCCGTCAAATGAGCGTTCATGTCGATGATCTAAGAATGGAAAGCGTTTAGAATTAAATATTTCTTGTAAAGAGCTAGCTCAGCCTTGATTTTTAGTCAGAGTTGAGCATGGTTTTATTTGTTTGTTCAGCGCCGCCCTTTTCCCATTAGGATTAACTTTAAGCTGAAGACAGCGACGTTGGCACAGCGATGAAGACAGCGACGGGAAAAGGCGCGGGGCAAGGCGACCTTTCATACGCAAGGCCCCGCCCCTTCACCATTCGCAATCTAACTTTGAACTCAAATTTCTCGGTGTTGAGCTGTTCAATTGAAATTTTCTTTGTACCATTAGATTCCCCAAGACTTTCTCTATCGATTGTTATAAAAATTATTGAAATTCGATGTCTCAACTCTGAGAAATTTGAGCTTAAAGTTAGATTGCTAATGAAAAAAGGGGCGGGGCGATTGTCGGACCTTTTAGACGCTAGGCCCCGCCCCTTTCTGATGAGAATTGCTTGGATCTTTGCCTAGATTTGTTTAGCAAACAAAATTCGCGCTTAAACCTGATTGTGGGACCTTTTATACGCAAGGCCCCGCCCCTTTTCTCATCTAACTTTAAGCTCAAATTTCTCGTGATTGGCTCATCCAATTTCAATAATTTTTATACTAATCGATAGAGAAAGAGTTGGAGAATTTAATGGTGTTAAGAAATTTGAAATTGGACAACTCTACATAAAGAAATTTGAGCTTAAAGTTAATCCTAATGAGAAAGGGGCTTCTGTCAGCCTAAGGTTTTTCGACAAGTTAATGGTTGATGTTAAAAGTTAGATTCAATGCGCCTAGTGTTAGAATTGAGCTTTTAACTCACGAGCTTCTTCACGTTCTTCCATTGCAATATTGCGCAAACTAGCAACATTAAAAGGCCAACACCAAGAAAAGAGCAACCAGCGATTACGAACGGGGTCTCCATTTGCTAAAAATTTGTTTTATTTAATTATAATATAGCTTTTATAATTAAACTTTTATCAATTTAAAGCTTTTTTTTTAGTTTATAGTGGTTGGAAAGCTTTTAAAAGCTTTAAAGCTTATAATTTAAAGCTTTAAAAGCTTTAAAAGCTTTAGAAATCTTTGATCATTGAGTTTTCTTCGATTTTCGTTGCCTTTTCGATCTCATAAAGCTTTTTTAGATATTGGAAAGCTTTTAAAAGCTTTAGAAATCTTCTAGAAGCTTTAGAAATCTTCTAGAAGCTTTAGAAATCTTTTAAAAGCTTTAGAAATCTTCTAGAAGCTTTAGAAATCTTTTAGAAGCTTTAGAAATCTTTTAAAAGGTTTAGAAATCTTTTAAAAGCTTTAGAAATCTTTTAAAAAGTTCTATTTTCTTATTTGAAAGTTGACAAGTCGAGAAAAAAAATGACAAAAAAGAGTTAACAAAAAAATTTCGTTAAAAATGAATGTTGATATTAGAAAGAATTCTAATCTTGTAAAAATCTAGAATTCTTTTTTTCAATACCCGAATAAAGACTCTTTTTCTGAGTAGATCTTAGCTAATCTTTTGCTTTGAATTTCCCCAGAAAACAGAAGAGATTCAGCTGAGCAAGGAGACTTTAAAAGTGTAGATGCTATTGATTCCTTTGAATTGAGCTTTTGCACAAACCTATTGACGCTAAACTTTGCCAGAAAATAGTCCAGAATTAGTCCAGAACTAGTCCAGAATTAGTGCCTATAGGTACAACTGCCTATAGGTATCGCAATTAGTCCAGAACTAGTCCAGAGCCAGTCCAGAATTAGTGCCTATAGGTACAACTGCCTATAGGTATCGCAATTAGTCCAGAACTAGTCGAGAACCAGTCCAGAATTAGTGTAGCTGTTTAGCTGTAAACTAACTTCACTCTAAATCCAAAAGCATTCTAATAAAAGAGCCAGCTTTTCTATGTTTCTATGTTTCTATGTTTCTATTGGGTTGATGCATAATTATCCGGACTTCTTTTTGCGTGCTTGTATCTTTTTTGTTTTGAAAGCTTTTTGTCTATTTCTTTTTTTAAAATATTCGTTATTCTTTAGTGAACAAAATGCGTGTCGACAATCATATCCATCTTCGCCATATCATGCTCTACCACTTCGAAAAGGGATGGTCTGCCGCAGAGTCGTTTCGCGATCTCAAAGAACTGGAGAAGCCCCAACGGACTACCACGTCAATCGATCGCTCAAAAATTGGCAAACAAATAAGATCTACAACGATTTGGATGACTTGATAGACGATGTTAAAGCGTGGATTGCCTCCAAAGATCGTTTATTCTTCGCTCGTGGAATCGATCGTCTTCCAAGCAAATGGCAATCAGTTATTGATGTAGGCGGTGAATATGCTCCAGAATAATCAATTAAACATATTTTTCTAACTATTTATGTTATTTTTTGTTAAATAAAATCATTTATAAAAGAAGTCCGGATAATTATGCATCAACCCAATATCTTCCTACCTTCCTATATCCCTTCTTCCTTCTTCCTATCTTTCTATTTTTCAATGTTTCTTTAAAATTTTAACCCTACAATCTAAATTTTTAAAGAGCTCAAAAATCAGTTTTCTTCGTTTGAGTTTTTCCTCGATTTTCCTTTCCTTTTCGATATCATAAAGCCTTTTTAGATATTGGAAAGCTTTTAAAAGCTTTTAAAATCTTTAGAAACCTTTAAAAACCTTTTAAAAGCTTTAGAAATCTTTAAAAAGTTCTACATTTTCCTATTTGAAAGTTGAAAAGTCGAGAAAAAAATGACAAAAAAGTTAGCAAAAAAAATTAACAAAAAAAATTAACAAAAAAATTTAGTTAAAAATGAATGTTGATATTAGAAAGAATACTAATCTTGTAAAAATCTAGAATTCTTTTTTTTCCATACCCGAATAAGGACGAGGACCCCGGAAGCACAAAGCACCACTCCACAAATGAAAAACCCGGTCATGTACAAGACAGTACCAGTTGAGGACGGGGTTTTTTTCAACATCGCAACATGAGTCTAAATTTTGATGGAAATTATTGTGTGACATCCAGCTTTCGGAAATCCTATGCTCGATCCTAGCTAGAATGCAATTGAGCTCAAGAAAAGTTTGTGAACTCTTTCGTGGCATTGAGAAAAGCTAAAAGTTGTTTAGGAGAGAAATTTTTGAATCTAATGATGATTGTAAAGTAAAAAGGATTAAAAATCCTCAATGAATTCAGTAGAATTTCAATGATTTTTGGTTTAAAAGAGGGATTTTTTTTGAAAGAACAAAAGAACTTAATGAGAAAATCGAAAAATCGAAAAAAAAAACAGAAAATCAGAATTTTTTTTGATTAAAATTAATCTATTTTTTAAAAAAAACTAGATAAATTTCTTTTTTCTTTTTTTATTATTATTTATTTAATTAAGGAACTATAAAAGAACTATAAAGGAACTATTTAAAGTTATAGTTTCTTTATAGTTCCTTTGGGTTCCTTTATAGTTCCTTTATAGTTTCTATTTGGTTCCTTTAAAGTTCCTTCATAGTTCCTTCATAGTTCCTTGATAGTTCCTTTATACTTCCTTTATACTTCCTTATAATTCTATACTTCCTTTATACTTCCTTTATAATTCCTTTATACTTCCTTTATACTTCCTTTATACTTCCTTTATACTTCCTTTATAATTCCTTTATACTTTAAAATTATTTATTCTTTTCCCATTAGCAAACTTTAAGCTCAAATTTCTTGGCTTTGGTCCATCCAATTTCGATATTTTTGGCATCATTCGTCAAGTCTTTCTCTATCGATTCGTATAAAAACTATTCAAATTGGAATATCCTTTAAAGTTCCTTTATAGTTCCTTCATAGTTCCTTCATAGTTCCTTTATACTTCCTTCATACTTCCTTCATACTTCCTTCATAGTTCCTTCATAGTTCCTTTATACTTCCTTCATACTTCCTTCATACTTCCTTCATAGTTCCTTCATAGTTCCTTCATACTTCCTTTATAGTTCCTTCATACTTCCTTTATAGTTCCTTCTTAGTTCCTTTATAGTTCCTTCATAGTTCCTTCATAGTTCCTTTATACTTCCTTCATACTTCCTTCATACTTCCTTCATAGTTCCTTCATAGTTCCTTCATACTTCCTTTATAGTTCCTTCATACTTTCTTCATACTTCCTTCATAGTTCCTTCATAGTTCCTTTATACTTCCTTTATAGTTTCTTTATACTTCCTTTATAGTTCCTTTAGAGTTCCTTTGGGTTCCTTTAAAGTTCCTTTATAGCTCCTTTATACTTTAAAATTATTTATTTTAAAAAAAACCTTGTCAAATTGTGGTGTTTGCATGCGCTCTAGCGGATCGCCGCCAATCGAAAAAGCTCTCTTCGGCACTTTGATCTTCATTGAAAGCGCTGGTGAGTGTTCCTAAAAAAAACATGGAAAAGATTGTTGAAAATTGTTTAAAAACCCCAATTGCACTCCAGAAGAGACAAAAATTGCAAAAGTTTTTTTTTAAAGATCAGTCTAATTTGGGTCAAAAGCTGAGCAACTCTTGTCAATGGGAACCGATTTCTTAAAGGCATTAATTTCATGAAATTTTTGCCCTAATCAACGATGTGACTTCCAGATTGGAGAAAATTAAAGTGAAATTGACAAGTTCTACTCAAAAAAGGCTAAAATCCCTTCCAAAATGAATGCTCGGTAAATTGAATTTCTTAAAGCCATTAGTTTCATCAAAATTTGGCGCCAATCATCGATGTGACTTCCAGATCGGAGAAACTTAAAGTGAAATTCAGGGCAAGACTTGGTGAATTGAGGGCAAAAGTGGGTAATTTAGGGTCTTGGTGGGGTCAATTTTTCAAAGTCAATAGTTTCATGAAATTTTTGCGCCAATCAACGATGTGACTTCCAGATTGACGAAATTTAAAGTGAAATTGGCAAGTTCTACCAAAGGAAGGCTAAAATCCCTTCCAAAATGAATGCTCGGTGAGATGAATTTCTTAAAGCCATTAGTTTCATGAAATTTTTGCGCCAATCAACGATGTGACTTCCAGATCAGGGAAATTTGAGGTCAAATTCAGGGCAAGACTTGGTGAATTGAAGGGAAAAGTGGGTAATGTGAGCCCTTGGTGGGGTCAATTTTTCAAAGTCAATAGTTTCATGAAATTTTTGCGCCAATCAACGATGTGACTTCCAGATTGAAAGATTTTCGGGAAAATGGGAAACTTCAATTTTAAAAAAATTCAAGTTTCCTTGCCAAACAAATCGGTCTTGGTGAGGGGCATTTCTTAAAGCCACTAGTTTCATGAAACTTTTGCCCCAATCAATCATGTGACTTCCAAATTGTTGGAATTTAAAGTAAAATTCAAGGTAAACTCAGGGCAAGACTTGGTGAATCGCGGGGAAGAGTGAGTAATGCCACGGAATCGATAGGGGAGGCTGTGAAAAGGGGTGATAACGCTCAAAAAAAAGGCGATGAAATGGCAATCGAGTCAAAGAATTGAAAGAGAGAGAGGGCTCTTTGGCCATCTTTTGATGTTCTATATTTGAATAGGGGAGTGGTCGGGCCGGGATTTTGGCTGAATAGAAAAAAAGGGAAATCGACATGCCAGAAACGGCTATATTCTAAACTCAATTTTTCCAGAAGTGATTTTTGTTTAGCTCTTTATTTGTATTGCCTAAAGTGCGTTCCAGGACTGCCAAAAATCGCTTCAAAATCTATCTAACTATCACTAAAAGCAGCAGCGAGGCACGGTCCCGTTTCCCCCAAAACCAAATTCTCGAAATCTCATTCTAGAGCCATTTTTATTCACGAAATCCTTCTAGTGCCTTCCAATTAGTACAAATATTGAATGAAATCTTGGAGTTGTTGCGATGAATCAGCAAAAAATAGGGGGAAGGTCATGTTTTCCGGCGATGAAAGGCCGATTTCGGGCGGCCGATCACAACAAAAGCCCCATTTTGGCATTTTCCTATTGAAATAGGTCTTTTCTGGCGTAAAACGAGATCAATATTGACTTTCTCGGGCTTTGTTATAGTTTCCCAAACGAACCGCATAGATATTCCTTGGCGCCGGGGTGAGTAGATTTGTGTCTAAATGGAGAGGACGAGTGACGGGCTGGGAATCGCTTTGGGGTAGCTGGCTGGGTCGTGCCGGAGTGGCGAACATTTCCCGAAGTTCGGGCAAATCTAGAAATTCGCTTTGTTTTTGTGGGAATCGTTGATCGGCTTTCGGCTTATTCATTCGCTTTTTGCATTTATTAAGCTCGCTTCTGGCGGAACTGTTTGTCTAATTTTAAAATATAGCAAAGATTTCAAGTGTTTACATGGAAAGATTTTACACATTTATGACTTTAGCCAGCGGAAAAAGTTCGCGTTTTTCACTGCCGAGGTCCACGCAATCTAAGCCCCGCTTCTTTTTGTTACTGGCTCCGCACACACGGACAAATGGACAGATGGACAGATGAACAGACAGACAGACGGACAGATCGACAGACGAACAGATGGACAGACGAACAGATGGACAGACGGACAGACGGATAGACGAACAGACGAACAGGCGGACGGACAGAAAGACGGACAGACAGACGGACAGACAGACGGACGAACAGACGGACGGACTGACAGACGGACAGACGAACAGACGGATAGACGAACAGACGGATAGACGAACAGACGGACGGACGGACGGACGGACAGACGGACAGACGGATAGACAGACAGACAGACGGACAGTTAATGGCTTTGTTGTTAATGGCTCGAAAGGACTCGAACCCTCGGGGTCCAAAAGGGCAGCGCGCGCACTAACCACTACACCACCGAGGCCGTCGGCTGAAGATAGTGCGCCCTCATAAAGGAACCCCAAAAAGTTGTATGCCATAAATCTCACGATAGAGAAGCGTTTGGCAAAAACTGATTGCGGATTCGGAATCAGCGTGAAAAACTGCATCAGATAGGCTATTTTCTGAGTGTAAAGCCAGGTTAACAACGTTCCCTAGTTAGAAGTGAGTCACTAGGTCTGTCTTGCTGGATCAATAACATTTTCAAGGTTCTTTTCCCGATTTGGACTGGCTCACGATTTCGAAACTCACCTGGTAATGGTGGCGAATCGAGAGGCAATGAGGAGGATCTGGTCTCTCCGCTGCTTGACGAGATCGACGTCGATCGAGACAAGCGAAAGCGTGGCAGTGACATTTTGATAATCACAATATTTTCGAGAAACAATTACAGCTTAAAATGTTGTGCACTCCAGAATCGCCGATCAATGGGTTTACGGAGAAAAATGAGCGAGTCAATATATGAAATTGGGGAAACCTTGGCTGCTCTCTTCGGAAATGTTGACACAGCTTGGCCCTCTCGCATTTCCAGTGAGTGAGAAATGGAAAAAATGGGAAATTGAGAGTAAAGAGAGTGGCCAGATGACTAGATAACTGCAGAAAAGACGACTCTGAGTCAAAGGCTTCGGCTAGAGCTAGAGGCTGAGTTGGGTAATTAAACCAAGCCCCGGAGTTGGCTTAGGCTTAGGAAAAGACGAATAAAATATAGTTGCATTCCTTTTTTTCTAAAAATTTGTCTATTCTGGATGTCATGCTTTCATTTGAAAGGGAAATTTGTTAGAAATTTTGCCAAAGTGTTCGGTTCATTTACGCAATTCTGTAGCTGGCACGACTTTCCCAAATTGATTGATCATTTTCGAGCTTTTTTCGTAAAACCGTTGATGCTGGATATCACACAAGCTTTTGAAACAAAATTTTTGGTTTAAAGCAAAAAGAAATTTCGGTTCATTTACGCAATTCTTAGCTGGCACGATTTTCCCAAATTGATTTGTCATTTTAGAGATTTTTTTTTATAAAACCGTTGATGCTGGATATCACACAAGCTTTTGGAATGAAATTTTTGGTTTTAAACACAAAAAAATTTCGGTTCATTTACGCAGTTTTGTAGCTGGCACGATTTTCCCAAATCAATTTGTTATTTTCGAAATTTTTTTGATCAAATTGTTGAAGCTGGATATCACACAAGCTTTTGAAATGAGATTTTTGGTTTTAAACACAAAAAAATTTCGGTTCATTTGCCCAATTTTCCCAGTCTTGAAGAGTAAACTCAAGACGCAATGAAAAGCCGGAAATACAGGTGAATTTACGGAATTCAGCTGTTTAGTGAAGCTGATATGGAGTGGAGCTGATAAACGAATATAAAACTGTATTGAGCCAGAATTTTTTGCTTCAAAATGGAAGTCCAACTGGCAATGTATATTAATATGTCCGTCGGGTATAGAGATGGAATTGGTTCTCTCATTTGGATGAGCTATTTCACCGAGATTTCCCTTTATTTGCTGTCTTTCGTCCTCTCCCCATTCGCTCTCCACATCTCGTCGGCGACTCCGGTAAACGTTTTTAACTATCAGACGGCCTTTTAAAGCAAGTTAGAGTCAGAAATCAGATCCTAGCTTGGGCTTAGACCTAGCATTACTGTTAGACTTGGCCCAGAAAAGTTTTTGAACAGCTTGACTCCGTCCTTTTCTAGCCCTAGGCGCTAACTCACTTGAATCTACCAGAAACCATATCTAGCTAGCTAATTTTTGCGTCAATCAACGTTGTGACTTCCAGATTGGAGAAACTTAAAGTAAAATTCAGGGCAAGACTTGGTGAATTGAGGGCAAAAGTGGGTGATGTGGGGCCTTGGTGGGGTCAATTTTTCAAAGTAAATAGTTTCATCAAAATTTGGCGCCAATCAACGATGTGACTTCCAGATTGACGAAATTTAAAGTGAAATTGGCAAGTTCTACCAAAAGAAGGCTAAAATCCCTTCCAAAATGAATGCTCGGTGGGATGAATTTCTTAAAGCCATTAATTGCATGAAATTTTTGCCCCAATCAACGATGTGACTTCCAGATCAGGGAAATTTGAGGTCAAATTTAGGACAAGACATGGTGAATTGAGGGCAAAAGTGGGTAATGTGGGGCCTTGGTGGGGTCAATTTTTCAAAGTCAATAGTTTCATCAAAATTTGGCGTCAATCATCGGTGTGACTTCCAAATTGGAGAAATATTCTGTAAAGTTGGCAAGTTTTAATTAGAAAAAATCCAAAATCCCTTCCAAAAAGAATGCTCGGCGAGGTGAATTTTTCAAAGTCATTAGTTTCATCAAAATTTGGCGCCAATCATCGGTGTGACTCCCAGATTGACGAAATTTAAGGTCAAATTCAGGGCAAGACTTGGTGAATCAAAGGTAAAGTTTTCGGAATCGATTTGGCTGGACTTGTTCTAGCCTAGAAAGGCTTAAAAGGCCTGATTCTAGGTTTATAGAAAGGCTTAGGCTTCGGCTAGGATTATGCAGAAAGCTTGAAAAGAGATTTGTTCAGATTTTCCACCCGAATCTCCTCTTGATTCTGCAGCAAAGTTTCTATCATTTTTATTTCTGTGGAATCGCTCGTTTTTTGATGATTTTTTACGAGAGTCAATCAACATTGAGATGCCAAATCTATCGAGCAAGTTAGTCAAAGAGGAAAAGTTGATAAAACGCTCAACTAGCTCTGAACTTGGCAACTGGTTTCGATGGTGTAAATCCGTTAAATTCTAGGCACCGATCGTTGTCAAATTGCGCTGATGATTGCCTCATTTATTCGAAGCTATGTGGTGATCGCACTGAATTGTAGGGGCTTTATTCACTCTATAAAAAGCTACCGTAAGCTACCTAATACTGTAATAGTACCCCACCTTCATAATGACGGTGCGGGAGTGTTGCATAGTCTAGCTTTGGACGCCTTTTTTCTCGACACTGGTTTATGCTACAATGCGCGCTTAGGTATCAAAAAATAGCTGAAATTCAGGGCTATTTTTTGATACCAAAGCGAGGATTGTAGCATAAAGCAGCGCGGAGAACGGGATGTTTAAAGTTAGACTACGCAACAATCCCGAAAAAACGCGTTTTTCTCGACACTGGTTTAAGCTACAATGCGCGCTTAAATAGCAAAAAATAGCTGAAATTCAGGGCTATTTTTTGATACCAAAGACGCATTTTTTGAAAGTACGGGTGCTTTGCAAAAAATGAAATCCTAAAAAACTTTTGCGACTACGCGACTGTACGAGGGGCGTGGGGGACTATTAGAGTATTTACGGTAGTAATCAATCCCTTACAATCTTTTTCCATAAAACTATAATATTTTAGACTTTTAAGATAAGCTAGAAGTTGCTAGAAGTTGAAAAATTACAGAAAAAAGCTTTATTTTGAAAAAAGCTTAAAAGCTTTTCAAATAGCTCTCTAAATTTAGACTTTAGAATCACTTTTTGGGCTTTTAAATTGAAAATTCTTAAATTCTGGATAGCACAGAGAGATTTTAAAAGGAAATTTTCCGTTTTTTGAATAATTAAAATTTATTGGGTACTGTAGTTTTGGTGGGCGCTTATCTTTTTTTTCTGCTTTACACCTTTTGGGGGTTTAAAAAAAAAATCCTTAAATTCTGGATAGCACAGCGCAGTTTTGAAAGAAAAATTTTCCTTTTTTGAATAATTAAAATTTATTGGGTACTGTAGTTTTAGTTGGTCCAAAATTTTTGGTCTTAGAATAACTTTTGGAAGTTTTAAACAAAAAATTCTGCAGTTCTGGATAGCACAGAGAGATTTTAAAAGGAAATTTTTCCTCTTTTGAATAATTTAAAAAATTTACTGGGTACTGTAGTTTTAGTTGGTCCAAAATTTTTGTTCTTAGAATGACTTTCTGAGGTTTTACACAAAAAATCCTTACGTTATGGATAGCACAGCGATGGAAGCCCTTTGCAAAAAAGAGAGAAAACAATTTCCAGCGTGTTTCGTTGGTGTGATGATCGAGCGCCTTATCGCGACCATGTATTTTGCCACTTATGAGCATCGTCACCATCGTCCGCTTTTCGTTTCATTAATCATTTTCGGCATTCTCCTCTCGTTTTCTATGAATGCGAACTTCTTTTTTGGTAGGAAATCTAGCAAAAACTCGTTTCTCAATTGTTTTTAAAGTGTTTTCTAAGCCATTTCCAAAACCTTTCCTTAACCATTTCCCTCTCTTGGCTCAAATTCCCAAACAAACCGCATAGATATTCCTTGGCGCCGGGGTGAGTAGATTTGTGTCTAAATGGAGAGGACGAGTGACGGGCTGGGAATCGCTTTGGGGTAGCTGGCTGGGTCGTGCCGGAGTGGCGAACATTTCCCGAAGTTCGGGCAAATCTAGAAATTCGCTTTGTTTTCGTGGGAATCGTTGATCGGCTTTTGGCTTATTTATTCGCTTTTAGCATTTATTAAGCTCGCTTCTGGCGGAACTGTTTGTCTAATTTTAAAATACAGCAAAGATTTAAAGTGTTTACATGGAAAGATTTTACATTTATGACTTTAACCAGCGGAAAAAGTTTGCGTTTTCCACTGCCGAGGTCCACGCAATCTAAGCCCCGCTTCTTTTTGTTACTGGCTCCGCACACACGGACAAATGGACAGATGGACAGACGAATAGACGGACAAACAGACAGACAGACGGACGGAGAGATGAACAGACAGACAGACGGACCGACGAACATATGGACAGACGGATAGACGGACAGACGAACAGATGAACAGACAGACCGACGAACAGATGGACAGACAGACAGACAGACAAATGAACAGACAGACAGACGGACCGACGAACATATGGACAGACAGACAGACGGACAGACAGACAGACGTTTCTTCTGCTTTAAATTAGACAAGGATTGTTTTAGAAAAAAGCAAAAGTTTGCCCGAACCCGGACTCGAACCAGGACCCAACATCATGACAGCCCAGCCAACTAACCACTCGGCCAGGACCACATGACGGCCCCGGCGTAAAATAGCTTGATATTCACGCTTGATCCCCCCAAAATCCTTAACCATTTCCCTCTTTTGTCTCAAATTTTCATGAAATCTATCCACTTTTAAACTCTAATATTAAAGAAAATTAAAGAATATGAAACACAAAAAATATCAATAGAACAAAATATAATAGATTCGATAGGAATTGACAAGATTAAGATAAAAAAAGACAAAAGGGACCATGATTTAGTACTGTAGGAGAGTGAGTTGCTTCCCCTTCCCTTCCCTTCGCTTTCTTCACCAAATCACCGATCTCCTTTGCAATATCAAAGGAAAAAGAATAACAAAAGAGTTAAAATATAATAGAATCGATTAGAATTGACAAGATTACGGTCAAA